TTAAAAAAAAGGAAATGAAAAGCGGTATGCAAATATTTGTAAATAAATAAAATAAGGAATCCAAGTGCTAGGGGACCAATGTTTGGAAAGGTAGAGAAAGAAGGGACATAAGTTGTGGTTTTTATTATGTCTTCGAGGCATGGGCCGTGCGTTTTGCGGTGTGACAATATAAGGGAGGTTTTTTGCCATCTTCTTGTATGCAACGGCGATGAAAATTGCATGAGATGTTCCAGGATGTCACAAGCAAAAAATAATTCCTTAAAAAATGGCCCTCATAATTGCTGGCTGATTGAATTCGCGAAAAGGTTTTATACAGATACATGTTGTTTACCAGGACATTTTCCCAAGAGCTTGATAACGTTTGCATTGATATTTCATTCCAGAATAATCAATGTGTGAATGAAACATGACTGAATTATGATGGGGAAATGAGCATTTGGGTGTTTTATTGACATTATGGAGGGAGAACGTGATTTGTGAAGATGCAGATATTTGCACAGGAAGGAAAGAAGTGGGATTTGCAAAGGCATGGGGAAAATGAATTGATCCAGAACTTTAAAAGTGACTTTTTAAAACAAACCCTAACTATTCCAAGATTCCAAAAGTAGTTCACTGTGGCTTTTTGTTGTTATTACAGTATATGTCTTCAAGTCATTTCCAACTTGTTGAGTTCTTGTTGTGTGCCTTCAAGTCATTTCGACTTATGGCAACCCTATCGCAGGGTTTTCTTGGCAAGTTTCTTCAGGGGCGTTTGCCCTTGCCTTCCCCTGAGGCTGAGAGAGTGTGACTTGCCTAAGGTTGCCCAGTGGGTTTCCATGACTGAGCTGGGATTGTGGACAGCCAGTGTGGTGTAGTGGTTTGAACATTGGACTACGACTTCGGAGACCAGGGTTCGAGTCCTCACTCAGCCATGGAAGCCACTGGGGTCGATATGGCATGTGCCATGTGAAATGACTTCACCAAGGCCTGCCCCTTGTCATAGTCTCTGGGGATGACTTTTGGTCTCAGGTTTCGGCCCGAAATCTCAGGGTTTGGGTTGCTTGCTCCTGATCTGTCTGCTCCAAGGCCCAATAAAATTGTCTTATTAGCCATACTGTATTTTCCTGTAACATGCCAGTTTCAGGGGCGTGTAAAGGTATGGACCACGCTGGGTAATACAGTTATTACCTTTACTGCATTTTCTAGTAACATGCCAGTGTTCAGTCACTAGGAGTGTGTAAGGATATGGATTGCACTGGGAAATACAGTTATTATCTTTACTGTATGATCTTGCAACATGCCCATGTTCATGGACGTCACCAGAGGTGTGTAAGGGTATGGACCACACCGGATAAAACAATTATTATCTTTACTGTATTTTCTTGCAACATGCCCATGGACGTTATCACACGTGCCCAGAAACTGAAAATAAAGTGGAAATGCATCCCGAAAATAAACGGGAAATAAACCTTGTTTCCGCAAACGTAATTACCTTAATTGCGAATTTACAGTAAGTGCATTGAACGTCCACACACAAGAGAAAAAACCCGTAAATGTAGCAGAAATGAGCTTCTTGCACATGCGCAGATAGAGGAATGCTCACTGGAACCATGGGAAAAAGCAGGGAAATGCTCCCCAATACGCATTTGGCGCTCACATTACGGTAAATGCGAAATTACCTTAATTGCGCATTTGCATTTCCTCCAGACAACTGGATTACAAAAGATCGCGGTTAACACCAGTTTCTGTCCAGTTTCTGTCCAGTTTCTGTGCGACGTCGTGTGAAAACACGGGGCACTAATCCAGTTTCGGTCTGGATTTTGTGTGGATTAACCAGCAGATTTGCCCCCGTGTGATAACGTCCCATGTTCATGGACGTCACGAGGGGTGTGTAAGGGTATGGACCACACGGGGTAAAACAATGATTATCTTTACTGTATTTTCTTGCAACATGCCCATGTTCATTTACGTCACCAGAGGTGTGTAAGGATATTGATGCACCAGGTGACACCTGATATGATGATATGGAGCTACCTTCCAGGTCTGGTGGCTCTGCTGGCTAGGCATAGAGAAAGCCCCCTCCATTTTCCACCTGGCCAACAGGTCCACCAGATCTGAAAAAGAGAGGAGAGTTATTAAAAATAATCTCAACCAGGTGTCCAATTTATAAGGTACCCCACTGCCCATGTTCTCCTCAAGGAACCCAATGAGAGAAAGGAAAGACGCCTTACCTCTTCTTCTGCCGAAGGAACCTTTGTGTTATGGCTACAATGGGGAACAGAAGAAGCAGGAGACCCATCATGCTGCCTACAAGGATGGGAACGAGGATGTTCGTGGATGCTGGGGAGTGGAGCATGTCTTGTGTGAATGCCAGGGAACTGTTGCTGGGCTCTGGTCGGACTCCCAGAAGCTCACACATCAAGGCGTAAATGTGGACGCTGTCAAAAGGTTCGGCTAAAAATCCCTTCTTGAAATCTGGACCGAAAGCTCTAAAGATGGTCTTCATGTCCATCTCTTGGTTGTCGAAGCCGTGGTCTCCTTTGTAAACGTAGATGATAAACCTCTGAAAGAGAAGATGCGGGAAGGAGAGGAAAAGGAATGAATCCTCCCCCATGGCTTTCTTAGATATGTGGAAAAGGGCATCCTAGAAATAACCATCTCATGCCTTCCTTCCAGCATTTCAGAAATGAAAAGGGGACCAAGTTTGACCAAGCAATGTCAGAGTATGGTCAAAGGGACAGGCTGCAAGAAGGCAAACGTTATTAATGAAGATAAATGCACAAAAGTACAGTTTTAAGTTGAGAAAGCAATGGAAGTAATGAACTTTGTTTAGGAAAGCTTGAAAAAAATAATAATCAGATGAGAGCACTGGAAAAGACATGATCTTCTCTTCTCTTCTCTTCTCTTCTCTTCTCTTCTCTTCTCTTCTCTTCTCTTCTCTTCTCTTCTCTTCTCTGCCATCACACTTTTCTCAGCTGTTTTGAAATGTCCCAGTTTCTCCCTCCTCTCCCTCCTTTCCCATTTCCTCCTCAGCTTCCTTCAATTGCTGCAAATGGAATTCAATGTAGTTTGCATTCAACTTATCAGAGAGGAGAGGAAAGAAGAGAAAAGAGAAGAGGGCAGAAACTTGCCCTTCCTAGTCAACTTAGGCAGAAGCAAACTGCTGCAGCTGCCAATCTTGTCTGTTCTTCCTCATTCATAACTTTGGCCATCTTGACCACACTCTGATGTTGCTTGGCTACAAGGTTTTCATCTGTGAAATGTTGAATAATCAATATATGTGTGTATGTGTGTGTTACTTTTAGTTACTCGTCACCCTACTGCTTAGTTTAAATGATGCAGCCTAGTTATGCTGGATGGGATTGGAAATATAATATCCCTGAAATGTATCCAGCTGTTTTCCTGTATATGGACATGCAATCTCATAACTCCTTTTGCAATTCACAGTCTGCTAAATGCAGGAACCTTCAGGTTTGGTCTTCTGGCCACTATATGTCACTATTGCTCCACTGGAATGATGCAAATGTAGGCATGCTGGTCAGTCCCCAGCAGTTCCAGTTCTAGCTTTGCACTCCCCAAATAGGAAACCAACCCCACATTATGTGCAATGCCATTCTCAGAGCTTTTTGCACAAGCACAGGTGCACACCGTCACCCCCTAAAAAGGAGACAGATGTCCATAGAATCTGGACATGCCAACTTCTAAAAGCTGCATTTAGAAATAACGGTTATATTTGACGCAACATTTGATGCAACATTCGTTTCTCTGTTTAGTGCGGAGCTGGAGTGGTAGAAGACATTTTGCTGCCCGAGGCGGAATAGCGAACGGTGTCCCCGTTCCCACTATCCAAGTCACAATGGGTTGAACCCAGAGCCAGCCAATTTTTTTTTAGTAGCAAGCATAACTCCTTCTAACCCTGGGTACAGAAAGGCAAAAGGAACATATAGAAAATGGTGAAGAATGTGCCGTCCTTTCAGGCTGCCTTGCAGTCTGCTACCTGAGGTGCCTGCTTCACTCTGCCTCATAATAATAATAATAATAATAATAATAATAATAATAATAAAATTTATTTATACCCCACTTAAATGAAGACAATCTAAATGGCTTACATCAGTTAAAACCCCATACAACAAAATTCATACCCCAACCCACCCCCTTAAAACAATATTAAATGGCAAGATAATTAAAACAGGAATATAAACATTCCAACACAAATAAAACAAACATGAAAATATAAAAATATAAAAATATAAAAATGCCCTGATTAGACTCAGCTGTGCTCCCCATCCATCATGAACAAACTAGCCTTGTTGGGGAAGATGGAGACAAGGTGAGCTGTGTGCCAAATGCTCACTCTACTGTCCAGGTACTAATAGGACCTCTATGTCAAAACTGGGGGTCCTTTACAACCACTACGTATTCCCTGCACTACTGCACATGTAGGGATCATGAATGTCATAGAATCAAAGCGTTGGAAGAGATCCCCAAGGGTCATCTAGTCCAACCCCCCTGCCATGCAGGAACTCACAATCAAACCATCCCTGACAGATGGCCATCCAGCCTCTCTTTAAAAACCTCCAAGTAAGGAGACTCGACCACACTCCAAGGGAGCAATGTCTTCCACCGTCGAATAGCTGTTACTGTCAGGAAGTTCCTCCTAATGCTGAAGTGGAATCTCTTTTCCTATAGCTTCCATCTATTGTTCCGGGTTCTAGTCTCTGGAGCAGCAGAAAACAAGCTAGCTCCATCCTCCATCCAATACTGTATCCCTTTGAACATTTAAACAGGGCTATCATATCCCCTCTTAACCTTCTCTTCTCTAGGCTAAACATACCCAGATCCCTAAGTCTTTTCTCATAAGGCATGGTTTCCAGACCCTTCACCATTTTGGTTGCCTTCCTTTGGATATGCTCCAGTTTCTCAACATCCTTTTTGAATTGTGGTGCCCAGAACTGGACACAGGGTTATTCCAGGTGAGCAGAACCCAGTGGCACTATTACTTCCCTTGATCTAGACACTATACTTCCATTGATGCAGCCTAAAATCGCATTGGCCTTTTCAGCTGCCGCACCACACTGTTGACTCATGTTCAACTTGAGGTCTACTAGGACTCCTAGATCCCTTTCACATATTGTCTTCTTAAGCCAGGTGTCCCCCTCCTATATCTACGTATTTCATTTTTCTACCATAAGTGCAGTACCTTACATTTCTTTGTGTTGAAGTTCATTTTCTTAGCCTTGGCCCAGCTTTCTAGTCTATTAAGGTCTTCTTGAATTTTGATCCTGTCCTCCGGGGTATTAGCTACTCCTCCTAATTTGGAATATGTAAGCTGAGCTCACTGTTTTGTGCTTTGCAGATTTCTGGCTTAATGCTGAATCTTAAGCTTGGCATGTGGCATGCCTTCATGATGGTTTGCCAGAAGAGGGCACTTTAGAAGAAAAGATCACAGCGAGAAAATGAGAGAAAAGCAGCAATCGGAAGAAGTTGCTACTTTCCTGAATTAAAGTTGCATTTGCTTTTTTAAAATCAGTTTCCTGGTGTACAATTCTAGAATTTTTGGCTGAATGTGCATTGCAGAAACAATGCAGCTTGACATTGCCTTAACTGCCATAGCTCCATGCTGTGGAATTCTGGGATTTGTACTTTTAGGAGCTATTTCGCCTTCTCTGTCAAAGAGCTCCAGTGCCACAACAAACTACAAGTCCCAGAATGGACCCGTGACAGTTAAAGTGGTGTCAAACTGTATTAATTCTACAGTGTGGCAGCAGCCCAGAAATGGAAACTCCATCGTCCCCTGAGATCCCTGTCTCAGCTATTCCTGTATGTCGAATATATACAACCCCCTTCTGTAGAAAGACCCCAAAATTCAAGAAATCCTTGCCAGGGAGGGAGAAGGAGTGGCTCAGATTTTGTACGAAACTTACCCCATTGA